ACTGGCTAGAACTATTAAGGTGATCCTTTAACTTTAAGGGGTTTAAATGTAGGAGAGGAAGTACAATATTTGGGGAGAATTACTGCCCCTACAACAAGATCTGTGGGTAAGGATTCCATCCGAAGGAGAGCAGCAGGGATGCTGATATACAGGCCAGGTGTTTGAGAAAGCAAGTCCAGGGAACCCATCTGAAAAGGAGGTGGAGGAAGGAATCAGGCGAGCCCGGGTCTGGCACAGAGGAGTTCCAGGGAGCCTGCAGCTAGCTGAGTTCTCATTCCCAACCACTAAAATGGCCTGGAGCAGGGACTGACATGTAGAATCTGAAAGCCACCTTCAAGGATCATTGTTTCATATTATTATGAAGGGCATATAATAATAACAAATGCTTAAATGTATAGAGATGCATTTAAAAACCATATGATTCATGCATAACGTTTTGAATTAGTGAATCATCATCTCAGGAGGAAACATGCCAAATATGCCATGTTCTGGTTTTATCACCTTATGAATCATACACTTGGTGTATAAAATGAAGCTAATCTTTGATAAATTGTGGCTACTGTTTATTTCATTAAATACTTATATTCATGACATCAGGTAATCTTCTCTATAAACCTGAAAGATTATTATTATTATTACTAGCAACCCCACTTTACAGATGAGACCACTGACCTCCAGAGAGGACAAGGTTGCATAGCTAGTAAGAGGCTGAGCTGGGATTTAGATGTAGATCTCAGATGAATCCAATATCTCAGATTTGATTGCTGGAACTAAATAGAATATATAACATATCTGGCATTTCCGAGGAGCTCAACAATGCTAATTTTTCTTCCTCTTTCCTCTTTTCTTTCCTTCTCTCATCTCTGAAACTCCAGCCAAATAACTCATCACCTGTTAGGGATTCCTCCAGGGATTTGTCTTTTGAGAAGTGCTAGTAAACCACTCACACAATGATTTCTCCAAGTGAGCAGGTGATGGGAAGGAGAACTGACAATGGAGAGACTGGACATATGCTCTTACCAGTCTTGCTGCTGGCTCTGTGCCCACATGTAGGCTGGCAGAGGCAGGGGAAAGAGGGGACCAAAAAGAATCACATGCCTATTTACCGTCCCCAAAATAAGAAAAAGCGGGCTAGGCTTCACCCCTTTTTCTCCCCTATTGCAATATTTCTGTCCTTAGTGCTGTTGCAGGTGTTTATTAATATTTGGATACAGTGAGTAACTTGGTCATACAAATATTACTCTTTCTTAAGCAGGGAAAGCTCTACAAATTCCCAGCTCTTCTAAAAAATGAAGTCACTTTAATTCCCATTCTTAAAAATATGTGGGTTTTCACACAAAACAAACTGCTTCATCGGCCAGATTCTGGATTTCTCCTCTCCTGGAAACAAGGTGTCCTAGGGCAGTGGGGTTGAAGGTAAGGGGGATGGGAGGGAGGATGTGGTTGTGCTTCTTGAAAACAAGACTTTGCATGTATGTGTATCTAGTGCATGTGTTTTAATTTAGAGGCAAATAGGTGATATCTCTTTATGGCAACCAGCATGGTTTGAGGATATTTATTTTCTTTCATCTCATTCTATAAATAAACTGGATGACTGCTAAGGAAAAAAAAAATCAGAGACATGATTCCTAGCGTCTACTCTAGTGAACTATCCTGAAAACTCTGGTCTGCCACTTGGTGTGACAGACCAAGAACCTTCCAGGTTCTTAAAGGGTAGTTTGAGTCTTCATGCATGGGAAGCTTATGATTTTGACTTCTTCATCTAGTTTCCACTTAGAAAAGACTTTTTGACAGAAACCCAGAATGATTTAGAATCTCTCTGTAATCAAATGCTAATAAATATCGCCATTAATGAGATGTGCTGCTGATTTGCTTATTGCTTACCCTGTGATGCGTTATAGGCTATTTTCTTGGTAATTTTTATAGTAATGGTGATGCGTTACCACTAGTTCATCAAGGTCAAATTATTTCTTAGTAAAAGTTTGAGTTCTACTCTCCTGTCTTAACTGAGCAAGGCAGATGTAAGAGGTGCCTGTCTCAGGGTAGGAAACCCACCAATTTGTTACTTTTCAGAATTTTTGCCTCAAAGGTGGTTTTGGAGCCTCATGTTTTTTCTGTTGTTAAGTGTTGCCATTGTGGACAAGAACATTATAAATCAGAATGGTAAGACCTTGATTGCAAGATACTGAGTCACCAAAGGGGAGTGGCATCCCTGGCTTCTCAAGGATCTAGAAAATCATTCTCCTCCATCTGCTTTGCATATAATGGGGCAGGTCAGCATAGACAGTATGCAGCTCTTTGGTGCATATACAATGATTGTCCCCCATAGCTAATTTTATAGATCAACAGAAACCATAGGGGACCTTGGTTTAGAAAATAGAGGCAGTAGCTGGGCAAGGTGGCTGACGCCTGTAATTCCAGCACTTTGGGAGGCTGAGGTGGGTGGATCACTTGGGGCCAGGAGTTTGAGAGCAGCCTGACCAACATGGCAAAACCCCATCCATCTCTACTAAAAATACAAAAATTAGCTGGGTGTGGTGGTGCACTCCTGTAATCTCAGCTACACAGGAGGCTGAGGCAGGAGAACTGCTTAAATTCAGGAAGCGGAGGTGGCAGTGAGCCAAGATAGCACCACTGCACTCCAGCCTGAGTGACACAGCAAGACTCTGTCTCAAAAAAAAAAAAAAAAAAAAAAAAGAAAGAAAGACAAGACAATAGAGGAAGAAGAATTGAACTCTTCAGGAACTGGTTCACCTATTGAATTTCCTTTTGGCTTTAAGGAAAAATCTTCTCCTTCCTCCAAATACTTATGTTCCTATTGTCAAAACCATTCACTTGGCAGTGACACTTGTCACACTCTGCTTGTATTGAGTAGAATTTTTATGAGTGAAAGTCTAATATCTCAACTAGATAGGAGAGTTTCTCAAGGCAAGGGGCTGGGCTTTCCACTTCTTTGTGTCCTTGAATCTTCTAGCTTTGAAGTTAATACATAATGGTGCATAACATGCCATTTATTATAAATTATGAATTATTATTCAAGTCATTACTATTGCTCATTATTCATATTTGATGAAAATTCCTAGTTAAAAATATGATGCTTTCTTTCTTATGTATTTCTGTAGAATCAAAAGAAGTTTATGTTGTCTCATGACCCAAAGTTCTTGTGTAGGGAACTTTCTTTAAACAAGGTTTATACTCGAAATTCAGTTTGTTAAATTCAGTGAGTATTTACTGAGTTTCTATCATGTGAATTGTTACAGGGTATAAAAAATAAATAAGATAGTATATAAGCACTCAATTAGTTTTTAGTCTAATACAGGAATAAGAAATGGATTTTAACTTAGTATCTAGTTCTATCAATTGTTAGTGGCTGATTAGGATGCTGATTAGATTCAGTAGGAAAGAGCACTATGATCAGTTAGTAAAGTCTACCATTTACTTAGGAGTGGAGAATGATAGCATGAGTGCCACAGATTTGAAGAATATATTCAAAGTCTAGATAGAAGATTATTTTTAGTAGAATCGAATCAATTAATAACTTAATCAATTTTGTTTGGTACAGAGTAAGTACCAAACAAATATATAAATTATGTTTGGCAGTCCAGTCTGCCGTAATAACAAAATACCATAAACTAGATGGCTTAAACAACAAAAATTTATTTTCTCATAAGTCTGGAGGCCAGAAGTGCAAGATCAAGGTTCTAGTTGATTTGGTTTTTGGTGAGGGCTCTTTTTCTGGCTCGTTGACAGCTGCCTTCTTGCTGTGTGTTTACATGACCTCTTTTACTTGTCCATGTGGAGAGCTAGTCAGTTCTCTGGTATCTTTTCTTATAAGGTCACTAATCCTATTGGATCAAAATCCCTCCCCTATGGCCTCATTTAACTTTAGTTCCTTAGAGGCCCTATCTCCAAATACAACCATGTTGGGGGTTAGGGCTTCAACATATATATTTGGGGGGACTTAAACATTCATTTAATAGCAATATGTGATATAAAGGATAGCTTCATGTCTCCTGATTGAATAAGGGGATATCATAGAAGTTATAGATCCAGATAGGGTTATTATTTTTTTAAAAAGCAAGACATCAGAATTGATAATTAATTTTCAAAATAATAGCTGCATTTAAAGACATCTGGTCTTATAGGTTGTACATAGTAGATCAAGTAATCTATATAATGTATTTTTAAATATTAGATCTTTTTGGCTTTAAAAGTCTTATTTGAAATTCCTTGTGGAATAGAGTTTCATCAAAGCCAATCCAAAAGGCCTTTGTAAAAATAACCATTCTTGCTGCACTCATGCAAATATTTAGGTCAAGTATAAGACTAAAGTTTATTCATAATTAGTTTTTATCAAAAATGAGGACTGGAGAAAAAAATTTTGCTCCAAAGCTTATCATATACATTTGTCATTAAATCCTAGTCTCATTAATTGTTTTTAAGCTTTTTTGCCTACACTTTAGACTAACCATGGTTATTCCTGTGAATCAAGTGGTAATCTTCTGCAGCTTGGGGAAAAACAAAGAAGGATGTGTAACATAAAAATGAGAATCCATATGCTAGTTCTGGGCAATTACCTTGCAAATTCTGCCAGCTAATCAAAATGAGTAAGGTGCCTATAACCCAGAGGTTTCTTTGTTTGGGAAAATAAAACCAAGAAACTTCATAGACCCCAAAGGGGAATTCTATATCTTGGCAAGTAAAATTTTAGATGGAAATTACTTACAATACCACACTTGTGGGAACCACTGTCCTCACTCTACAATTTGCAATAGGGTTATACATGGTAGCCCCTTCAAACTGAAATGTTGGGCAGAGAGTTTCCATTGCTGTCCTATTTTGCTTAATTAATAACCTTTTAGCAGGGATAATAGTTACTGACAAAAAGGAAGCATGAAAGTTTTGCTATCACTGAGTCTGCTAGGACTTTTTATTGGGTTTGGTGATGCAGTTTTAAATGAAATATGCTGCTTTTGGATTAACACCTCTAATAAAGTAGAGGAAAATCTACAGGTACTGAAAAATCAAATCAAAATTATTAACAGGCTCAGGGAAAATGCTGGCTTCAGTCCTGGGTGACTACAATCCCTCTTTAATGAATTCCAGTCTTCTTTATGGAATTAGTTAACCCCCTTTTTAAGTCCTCTCTTGCTTGTATGTCTTGTATTGATATTTGAACCCTGTATACTCAATACCATAACTCAAATTCTTTCTTCTTACCTAGAAACAACCAAACTCCAAACAGTGCTATAAACTGAATCACACATGGACACACCATTCTTCCAAGGACCCTTAGACTTACTCCAGGAAGAGCCCTAACTGCTGTTCTGCATTTGACACCCCTTTTCAGCAGGAAGTAGCCAGAAAGAGTCCTCACCGCAAACCCCCTAATAGCAGTTAGTGTGGCATCTCCACAGCAGGGAATGTTGTAGGACTTAATTAAGAAATTGTTTTAGGCAGATAGAGAGGAAAAGGGATCCTTGGGAAGTTTCCATTTTTTAAAACATCTCCAGAAAAGTTTTTTGTAAAGTCCAGGCCCTTAGAGCCAGGCTGGCAACCTTTGAAATGGAAATGTCAGCCATTAGAAACTGGGTCCACCCAGACATGGTGATTCCCTCAGCGTTCTTGCCCTTTCTCTACATGTTCCTGGCAACATGGCCACCCTCACATATCCCCACATGTGTAGAACATCATGGTGCCCTGTATTTGCATATTAAAAGACTAGGGTGGGAGGGCAAGTGTTTTCACAGGCTATGTGAATGACATGCCTAGTCAAGCCAATCCCCTGACCCCTATGCATATCAGACATCACCTCCTCCAGCCTCTGCATATATACCTGGCTGGTGTCCACCACACTTTGGGGTCTCCTCTTTAGGCTTTGGAGCACCCTTCGCCCCCACCCTGTCTCTGTGTGGGGGAGTCTCTTCCTTCTGCCTCCTCTCTTTTAATTTTAAAAGAAACTTAAAAAATTTTCTTTCTTGCCTATTAAACTCTCTGCTCCTTAAAACAAATGAACAAACAAACAAACCATTAGATCAGTCCAGGTGCTCTGGCTAATGGCTGTAAGCCCAGCACTTTGGGAGGCTGAGATGGGTGGATCACTTGAGCTCAGGAGTTTGAGACCAGCCTAGGCAACATGGTGAAACCCTGTCTCTACAAAAGATACAAAAATTAGGTGGGTGTGGTGGCGTGTGCCTGTGATTTCAGCTGCTTTGGAGGCTGAGTAGGGAGGATAGCTTGAGTCTGGGAGGCAGAGATTACAGTAAATCCAGATGACACCACTGCACTCCCACCTGGGCAACAGAGCCAGATCCTATCTCAAAAAAAAACAAAAACAAAAACAAACAAAAAACACCAGAGGCAAGTGGTTCAAAGTAATGAGTGTTAGATGCATATTCAACCAAAAAAGTATACTTTTCTAAATCTTAGTGACACCTTAAAATAATAATGATACATTAAAAAATACTATCCTGTAAATGATGTTAACTGCAAACTTTTGGCCTTGGAATTCTTGTCTTATACGTACTGATGGAAGAATATGCCATCTTTCTTTTACCTACCAACATGCCTGACTTTTGTATTGATATGTGCTTAACAGACTGAAAATTTCACATTTGTTCTCATAGCTACATCCATGACAGTGGAATTTAAAAATGTGATTTCTTAAGATAACATTTGCTTTTGGTGAAATTTAAATCTGAAGCCAGGCTAGGTTTTGTGTTTTTTTTTTCTTGTTGGATTTTAAAATTTTCCCCTAAGAAGATCCATTTGTTAAAGTTATAAGGTACTAGAGCTATTACCCCTAGAAAAATAGAATATATATCAGTGCTTGCATTTCAAACTTATCCAGCTCTTGTTTATCTCATCAGACCTCCAGGGTTTTATATTTCAGAGTGAAAAAATTAAATAACATTTATTTTTTTATTATTAAAGTAAAAGCCAACCTGGGCTTTAACATAATTCCTGGCCCAAATGTCTCATAATATCTCATCATTTCTCTTTTATTCTGACATGACTGAACTGTAGAATACCCATATTGATGATAAAATGGAATTCCTTGATTTTAATAACAAACAGAATCTTTGTAGATGTTCAGTAAATTCTTGGTTAAGGTCTAGACAATTATAGGGAATATTTTGAAGTCATATTCCTATCTTAAAATGACTGTTTACTTTTTTTTAAGCATATGAGTGATGCAGTGGCTAAAAGTGACACAGTAAAGTGTGGCTGAGTAATGACTGAAATGTACACATGAAAAACACCTGGGAATTCTGTAAATAATGAAGCACATAATTTCAAGAATTTGGCATGAGGGCTGGTGTGGCAGCTCACGCCTGTAATCCCAGTACTTTAGGAGGCTGACGTGGGAGAATCACCTGAGGCCAGGAGTTCAAGACCAGCCTGGGCAATATAGCAAGACTCCATTTCTAGTAAAAACAAAAGTAAATTAGCCAGGTGTGGTGGCATGCACCTTAGTACTTGCTACTCAGGACGCTGAGCCAGTAAGATAGCTTGAGCCCAGGAGTTTGAGGTTCAGTGAGCTATGATTGTGCTGCTGCACTCCAGCCTAGATGACAGAGTGAGACCCTGTCTCTAAAAAATAAAGAAATTTAAAATAAGAATTTAGCATGGAAATAATTTTTTCATGCCTTGGAAACATAATATAATAGATGGAATTATAATCTGGAATATTATTGTTTTTATTATAGTATTTTTCCAATTAAATACATACCAACAATAGACCAGAATCACTTATATTCATTGAATATATTAACTTAGAGATAACTATTATTAACATTTTCTTGTATATCTTTCCTGTCTTCAAAATTAGGATTATATGGCATATTTTAGAATGCTATATTTGCTTATTAATATATCATAAACATTTAATTTTATTATTATGTATTAATGAAATAAAATTCTATCCTATAGATACACCATAATTTATTTAACAAATCCTTATTGCTGAACATTTATGTTACTTGCAATTTTCTGTTATGTCAAGTAATATTGGCCCAAACCATTTGATGTATGTGATTGTACATATATTATTTTTCTTATGATAAATTCCTGAAAGTGGAAGTCCTGGGTTAAAGGCTACGTTTTTGTGAATATCAATCACTGCTTTTCAGAAAGATGTGCTATTTTATATTCCTATCCATTTGAAAGTGCTTCTTTCTTCATACCTTTGCTAACACAGTGTTATAATTTTTTATGCTTGTCAAGTTGATTAAAAAAATTATATATTATTGTTGACTATTTATTGACTTCACTTTGGGCCTAGGTCAGAACATAGCATATAGAAGGATGTCTTGTCAACCTGTCTTATTGGTCTAAAGGCTAATTTTATTTTATTTTATTTTATTTTTGAGATGAAGTCTTGCTCTGTCACCCAGGATAGAGTGCAGTGGTGTGATCTTGGCTCACTGCAACCTCCTTCTCCCAGGTTCAAGTGATTCTCCTTTCTCAGCTTCCTAAGTAGCTGGGATTACAGGTGCCCACCACCATGCCTGGCTATTTTTTTTATATTTTTAGTAGAGACAGGGGTTTCTCCATGTTGGCCAGTCTGGTCTTGAACTCCTGGCCTCAGGTGATCTGCCTGCCTCGGCCTCCCAAAGTGTTGGGATTGCAGGTGTGAGCCACCACACCTGGCCTAAAGGCTAATTTTAAATTGATGCCTTTTCATTAATCCATTCAACAAATCTTTTTGGAGTGCTGCCTCAAAAAACAAAAATAATTTAGAATGTAAAATTGTGTATTTGGCAAATTAGTAATATTCCTCCGTAGATACCACATTAGCACTATGGTCTATACACAAATTCTGTTGTATGTTATTATTTTCCCTTCTTTCATTCTGATTCCCACTCCTTTTCCCTTCTCTTCCCATAAGCAGCTCTAATGTATTTAACAGATATATTTGAATATGCATGCTTCTTTGAAGAATAGTGTTTTTTGTTTTTATCTTACATATGTTGTATTATTCACCAATCTTGTTTTATCTTAAATTTTCTACTGCTGAACACTGCATTAAAAAATTTAAATTCTATTCTCATTGTGAGCATGTTTAGATATTACTTCTAATTGCTACAAAAAATTCCATGGTGTATGCCTGAAGTCCAAAGAAGAAGGAAAATATTTGTGCTCAATTCATCATTCTGGGAAGATTAATGCTCATTTGCATGTTGTTATTTCTTGAATAAAAGATATAATGATTAGTTATATGGTTACATAACTCTGCAATGGATCTATAAGCTTCTGAGAGGGATGCAGGTACTTTTAGGGAAGCTTAATTGGTAGACTTCTCTGAGGACAGCAACACTCCTGGGAGAAATAAGACTATTCTATCTGTTGTGAACATTCCTTCAGTGTGGAGTGTGCAGCATGTCATTAACTTTGGGTAAGGGACAGCATTTGTGTCATACACCGTAGCATACGTCTCTCACTCTGCCATGGGGTTTTGTAGCCAGAAATATAACACCAACTTTTGTATCTTGTATCTTCAACATCATATGTAATATCCTGTGCATAGACAGAGGCACTCAAATCATATTTGTTGAATGAATAAATGAAATCATTCTAATAATCTTAGAGCAGGCTGTCCAATCTTTTGTCTTCCCTGGGCCACGCTGGAAGAAGAATTGTCTTGGGCCACACATAAAATACACTAATGATAGCTGCTGAGCAAAAAAAAAAAAAAAAAAAAAAATTGTGGAAAAACCTCATAATCTTTTAAGAAAGTTTATAAAATTGTTTTGGGCCACATTCAAAGCCATCTTGGGCTGCATGTAGCCCATGGGCCATGGGCTGGACAATCACGTTTTAGAGCAGTAATATAGGATGACAGAGATTCCAATTGCCCAAGAAATGAAGGATTTGAAAAGAAACAGCTGTTCTTGGTACAGAATTCATCCATGTTTGCTTCTCCTTTTCCTTCTTGAGCACTTGGAATACCATACTTGGTAGCTCTTTTGCAATTACGTGAAACTGACTAGTTGAAGCCAATGCTTATTTCTTTTTTTTTTTTTCCCATTTATTTATTTTATTGCATTTTAGGTTTTGGGGTACATGTGAAGAATATGCAAAATTGTTGCATAGGTACACACGTGGCAGTGTGATTTGCTGCCTTCATCCCCATCACCTACATCTGGCATTTCTCCCCTTGCTATCTCTCCCCAGCTCCCCACCCCACACCGTCACTCCCCTATTTCCCCCCAACTGACCCCAGCGTGTAGTGCTCCCCTCCCTGTGTCCATGTGTTCTCATTGTTCAACACCCGCCTATGAGTGAGAACATGCGGTGTTTGATCTTCTGCTCTTCTGTCAGTTTGCTGAGAATGATGGTTTCCAGGTTCATCCATGTCCCTACAAAGGACCCAAACTCATCGTTTTTGATGGCTGCATAATATTCCATGGTGTATATGTGCCACATTTTCCCTATCCAGTCTATCGTCGATGGGCATTTGGGTTGGTTCTAGGTCTTTGCTATTGTAAACAGTGCTGCAATGAACATTCGTGTGCACGTGTCCTTATAGTAGAACGATTTGTAATCCTTTGGATATATACCCAGTAATGGGATTGCTGGGTCAAATGGAATTTCTATTTCTAGGTCCTTGAGGAATCGCCACACTGTCTTCCACAATGGTTGAACTAATTTACACTCCCACCAACAGTGTAAAAGTGTTCCTATTTCTCCACATCCTCTCCAGCATCTGTTGTCTCCAGATTTTTTAATGATCGCCATTCTAACTGGTGTGAGATGGTATCTCAATGTTGTTTTGATTTGCATTTCTCTGATGACCAGTGATGATGAGCATTTTTTCATATGTTTGTTGGCCTCATGTATGTCTTCTTTTGTAAAGTGTCTGTTCATATCCTTTGCCCACTTTTGAATGGGCTTGTTAGTTTTTTTTCTTGTAAATCTGTTTTAGTTCTTTGTAAATTCTGGATATCAGCCCTTTGTCAGATGGGTAAACTGCAAAAATTTTTTCCCATTCTGTTGGTTGCCGATTCACTCTAATGATTGTTTCTTTTGCCATACAGAAGCTGTGGAGTTTGATTAGGTCCCGTTTGTCTATTTTGGCTTTTGTTGCCAATGCTTTTGGTGTTTTGGTCATGAAGTCCTTGCCTACGCCTATGTCCTGAATGGTTTTGCCTAGGGTTTTTCTTCTAGGGTTTTTATGGTGTTAGGTCTTATGTTTAAGTCTTTAATTCATCTGGAGTTAATTTTAGTGTAAGGTGTCAGGAAGGGGTCCAGTTTCTGCTTTGTGCACATGGCTAGCCAGTTTTCCCAACACCATTTATTAAACAGGGAATCCTTTCCCCATTGCTTGTTTTTGTCAGGTTTGTCAAAAGATCAGATGGTTGTAGATATGTTGTGTTGCTTCTGAGGCCTCTGTTCTCTTCCATTGGTCTATATCTCTGTTTTGGTACCAGTACCATGCTGTTTTGATTACTGTGGCCTTGTAGTATAGTTTGAAGTCCGGTAGTGTGATGCCTCCTGCTTTGTTCTTTTTGCTTAGAATTGACTTGGCTATGCGGGCTCTCATTTGGTTCCATATGAAGTTTAAGGTGTTTTTTTCCAGTTATGTGAAGAAGGTGATTGGTAGCTTGATGGGGATAGCGTTGAATCTGTAAATTACTTTGGGCAGTATGGCCATTTTCACGATATTGATTCTTCCTAACCATGAACATGGAATGTTTCTCCATCTGTTTGTGTCCTCTCTTATTTCGTTGAGCAGTGGCTTGTAGTTCTCCTTGAAGAGGTCCTTTACGTTCCTTGTTAGTTGTATTCCTAGGTATTTTATTCTCTTTGTGGCAATTGTGAATGGAAGTTTGTTCTTGATTTGGCTCTCTTTAAGTCTGTTGTTGGTGTATAGGAATGCATGTGATTTTTGCACATTGATTTTGTATCCTGAGACTTTGCTGAACTTGCTTATCAGTTTCAGGAGGTTTGGGGCTGAGACAATGGGGTCTTCTAGATATACAATCATGTCGTCTGCAAATAGAGACAATTTGACTTCCTCCTTTCCTATTTGAATGCCCTTTATTTCTTTGTCTTGCCTGATTGCTCTGGCTAGAACTTCTAATACCATATTGAATAGCAGTGGTGAGAGAGGGCATCCTTGTCTGTTGCCACATTTCAAGGGGAATGCTTCCAGTTTTTGCCCATTCAGTATGATATTGGCTGTTGGTTTGTCATAAATAGCTTTTATTATTTTGAGATACGTTCCATCAATACCTAGCTTATTGAGGATTTTTAGCATAAAGGGCTGTTGAATTTTGTCAAAGGCCTTCTCTGCATCAATTGAGATAATCATGTGGTTTTTGTCTTTGGTTCTGTTTATGTGGTGAATTACGTTTATAGACTTGCGTATGTTGAACCAGCCTTGCATCCCTGGGATGAAGCCTACTTGATCATGGTGGATAAGCTTTTTGATGTACTGTTGCAATCGGCTTGTCAGTATTTTATTGAAGATTTTTGCATCTATGTTCATCATGGATATTGGCCTGAAGTTTTCTTTTCTTTTTGAGTCTTTGCCAGGTTTTGGAATCAGGATGATATTGGTATCATAAAATTATTTGGGAAGAATTCCCTCTTTTTGTATTGTTTGGAATAGTTTCAGAAGGAATGGTACCAGCTCCTCTTTGTACGTCTGGCAGAATTCAGCTGTGAGCCCATCTGGACCTGGGCTTTTTTTGGGTGGTAAGCTCTTAATTGCTGCCTCAACTTCAGACCTTGTTATGGGTCTGTTCAGGGTTTCGGCTTCTTCCTGGTTTAGGCTTGGGAGGAGGCAAGTGTCCAGGAATTTATCCATTTCTTCCAGGTTTATTAGTTTATGTGCATAGAGTTGTTTGTAATAATCTCTGATGATGGTTTGAATTTCTGTGGAATCTGTGGTGATATCCCCTTGATCGTTTTTTATTGCATCAATTTGGTTATTCTCTCTTTTCTTTTTTATTAATCTGGCTAGTGGTCTGTCTATTTTGTTGATCTTTTCAAAAAATCAGCTCCTGGATTTATTGAGTTTTTGAAGGGTTTTTTGTGTCTCCATCTCCTTCAGTTCTGCTCTGATCTTAGCTATTTCTTGTCTTCTGCTAGACTTTGAGTTTTTTTGATCTTGCTCCTCTAGCTCTTTCAGTTTTGACGATAGGGTGTCAATTTTTGATATCTCCTTGCTTCTCATGTGGGCACTTATTGCTATATATTTTCCTCTAGAGACTGCTTTAAATGTGTCCCAGAGATTCTGGTATGTTGTGTCTTCATTCTCGTTGGTTTCGAAGGACATCTTTATTTCTGTCGTCATTTCATTGTTTATCCAGTCAACATTCAAAAGCAAGTTGTTCAGTTTCCATGAAGCTGTGCGGTTCTGGGTTAGTTTTTGAATCCTGAGTTCTAACTTAATTGCACTGTGGTCTGAGAGACTGTTTGTTACGATTTCCGTTCTTTTGCATTTGCTGAGGAGTGATTTACTCCCAATTATGTGGTCAATTTTAGAGTAGGTGTGATGTGGTGATGAGAAGAATGTATATTCTGTGGATTTGGGTTGGAGAGTTCTGTAAATGTCTATTAGGTTTGCTTGGTCCAGGTCTGAGTTCAAGTCCTGGATATCCTTGTTAATTTTCTGTCTGGTTGATCTGTCTAATGTTGACAATGGGGTGTTAAAGTCTCCCAATATTATTGTGTGGGAGCCTAAGTCTCTTTGTAAGTCATTAAGAAGTTGCCTTATGTATCTGGGTGCTCCTGTATTGGGTGCGTATATATTTAGGATCGTTAGCTCTTCTTGTTGCATTGATCCTTTTACCATTATGTAATGTCCCTCTTTGTCTCTTATGATCTTTGTTGCTTTAAAGTCTAATTTATCAGAGATGAGAATTGCAACTCCTGCTTTTTTTTGCTCTCCATTTGCTTGGTAAATCTTCCTCCATCCCTTTATTTTGAGCCTTTGTGTATCCTTGCATGTGAGATGGGTTTCCTGGATACAGCACACTGATGGGTTTTGTCTTTTTATCCAATTTGCCAGTCTGTGTCTTTTGATTGGGGCATTTAATCCATTTACATTTAGGGTTAATATTGTTATGTGTGAATTTGATACTGCCATTTTGGTGCTAGCTGGGTGTTTTGCCCTTTAGTTGAGCTGGTACGTGTTGTTCCTTTATATGTGTAGAGCCTCTTTCAGGAGCTCTTGTAGAGCTGGCCTGGTGGTGACAAAATCTCTGAGTACTTGCATGTTCCCAAAGGATTTTATTTTTCCTTCACTTATGAAGCTTAGTTTGGCTGGATAGGAGATTCTGGGTTGAAAGTTCTTTTCTTTAAGGATGTTGAATATTGGCCCCCACTCTCTTCTGGCTTGTAGGGTTTCTGCTGAGAGATCTGCTGTGAGTCTGATGGGCTTTCCTTTATGGGTAACCCGACCTTTCTCTCTGGCTGCCCTTAGTATTTTCTCCTTCATTTCGACCCTGGTGAATCTGATGATTATGTGCCTTGGGGTTGCTCTTCTTGACGAATATCTTTGTGGTGTTCTCTGTATTTCCTGGACTTGAATGTTTGCCTGCCTTGCTAGGTTGGGGAAGTTTTCCTTGATAATATCCTGAAGAGTATTTTCCCGCTTGGATTCATTCTCTTCGTCGCATTCGGGTACGCCTATCAAACGTAGATTAGGTCTTTTCACATAGTCCCACATTTCTTGGAGACTTTATTCA